CCTTCTCTTCATTGTGGTTTCATCTACTCTTAGACCTCGATGTGAAAGACCCCCAAATCCCTGTGTCTCCCACCAGGACCCCTCTCCCGAGTGCCAGACTCTGGCCATCTATTTGTCATCTTCACTTGGACATCTCAGAAGCACCTCAAAGTTGTTGTAACAAAAATAAAGTTTGATTCCCTCTTAAAAATGTAGTCCTCCTGGAGAGCTGTCAAGTTCAGGACTTGGAAATTCAATTCTTTAAGTTTTTCAGGGCAAACACATTGGAGTCTTCTTTGTGTCTATGGACATTTATGACAATCTCTGGAAATCTGTGACATCCATGGAGTCATCTTTGACATCGATGACATCTACGAGGTAAAGGCAGTGAGCTGTCTTTGCTCATACTCCAGGTGTACCTTGCAAATCCTTTTGACTCCCTCTTCAAAATGTATCCAGATTCCAACTATTTCACACCAGAGGCAACATTGTTACCCTGTACTAAGTCTGTCTTATGAACTGAATTGTGTCCCCTCCTCCCCAAATTCATATGTTGAAGCTCTAACCCCCAATGATATTGTATTTGGAGATGGGGCCTTTAAAGATGTAATGAAGTTTAAGTGAGGTCATTAGGGTAGGACCCAAAATGACTTAAGTCCTTAGAAGAAGAAGAGACACTAGAAATGCGTGGGCACAGGGACAAGGCCATGTGAGGACACAGCGAGAAGGAGGCCATCTGCACGGCAAGGAGAGATATTCCAGGAGGAATATTTTACATTCATCTCATAAGAATGTGTGAAAATACAGATATTACCCAAGCACTCAGGACAATCAACAAATGGGAGATATTTGCTGAAGGAAAAGATAAATCCATGGGCGATAGCTGATCGTGTGCTCTGAAGCCTCACAGGGTGTCCATATTAGCCAGAGTTAAATGAATGTATGAAAAGTCAGAGCTCAGAGGAAGGGCAGTAACAGGGCAGGCTGACCTAGGTATGTGAGGAGGAGGGGACAGCCGAGCAATGATTCTGAGATATAAAAAGATTACTCTGCTCAAGGCAAGTGAGCAGGCCAGTGTGGGAGGTGTGACACACTGTGGATGACTCTGGCTTTCTGCCCCAAATGCCAGACCACATTGTCTGGGTCCTCATCTTTTAGAAGCGTGGGGAAGCAATTCAGACTTGGGTGAGATGGTGATCTTTTGTGGAGGTAATGCTAACAGGCCAGGGAGGAGAGATGGGAGGGCTGCAGCAGGATAAGCACGAAGAGGGGAGCTCAGCTCAGAGGGAACGGTTCTATTGAGCTGTGTTCAGAAGAAGCACAGAAACGCTTAGCAGCATATTGGTGCAGGAAGAAGTGATGGGACGTGGCCAGGTCTCTGCTGGGTGTCAGGGACAAGGGTGCCATCAGTGAGATGGAGAACACAGAAAAAGTATGTATTAACCAAGTGTTTCTGCTGTTCTGACATCTGGAGCTAACCCTAGGGGGACGCGCCTGCCAGGAACAGGCAATTGCTAGAGGTAGTAAGGACTTGCCTGTGAGCATGCCTTTCATATGCAAAGCGATCAGTCACATCGCACACCCCAACCACCTCCTTTATGGAACTTTTACACTCCAGACCATTATCCTCCTGCCCTAGTCATGCCAGGGCCAGGTCCCAGACAAAGAGAGACAGCGGCCACACCCCAGAGCCCACGGAATTATTCAAACTTGACAGTCCTAAGCCTGCTTCCCCAGCCTCACCTTGCCTTCCTCATGGAAGCCAGCATCAAGGCTCCTGCTCATGTTTTCTCCTCACCCCCTCAGCCTCCTGACCAACCCTGGTGCTGCCCCACGTGGCCTTGAGTGGTGTGGCATTTCCCCTTTTTCTTGGGAACTGTGAGGAACTAACTGTGGCAGCCGTCTCCCAATCTGTTGGGCTGACAGACCTGAATAATAATACAATCTACATTAAAAAATAATGGGACGGTGAAGAGCTCATTTGTGGACATGCTGAATGGAGTGAAACTGTGGATCACTCAGGAAATGTGTGGAGCAGGCTGCATGCCAGGATGCCCACATCACTCACCAGGGAAGTTGGTCCAAGGGCAGGATGGATGTCGTCCACACCCATTGCTGTTCTGGCTGCTTTCTTCCTGTGGGTCTTCACTCTAATGGGAGACACCAGGGCCTTTGACACAGTTTCATTCTTTGAAGCTGGAGTGAGTGACTAGGGCAGGTCAAAAGTGGGGCGAGCCCAGGCAGCATCGTAACAAGTCTTTGTAACAAGATCGCACTCACCCCACCCCTCAGTTCCTGGACATCTGGAACCAGGGCTGGGTCATATCAAGCCTGACTCAGTGGCTACTGGCTGGACTGTCACCACCACTGCAGCCCCAGACTGGCTGTGGGCACCCCCAACTCCTCCAGGTCCCTCTTCTCCACCTCTGGCCCACACCTGACCCAGCTCACATGAAGTAGATGAGGACGAGGCAGAGAGCAAACAGTGCAGTGACACCAGCTCCTGTGACAGCCCCCAGAACCACTCCTGCCCTGGTCCCCGGTTCCCCTGCAGACAAGAGAGACTTGGGGTGAACTCCAGTCTTGATGATGAGTATAAGTTTCCTCCTTCCAGCACAAAAGGAGGAGTGCCCCTCTCTTTCCATCCAGGGTTCAGACCCTTGTTCTCCTACTGCAGGATGAAGGACATGTCTATGTGACACGTCCTGTCCAACTACTGTCCAGCAAACGCCATCTCTTCTAGGACCCAGGTTCTTCTCAATCTAGAGTCTCTCTACAGCAGAGCCTGAACTGGCTGCAACAGGACCTTGAGGCTCGGGGTCACATGGGCATTACACACACACACACACACACACACACACCATGTGAGATGTTGAAAGGCCTCCTCCCTCCTCCCTTCCTGGGAGAGTGTCAGAATCTCCTCTCCTGGCCTCCACCAGCCCGGTCACTCAGGATCAAATGTGGTCTTTTGTGCCCCAGAAGGCGGTGAAAACAGGGAGGTTCTCAGCCCTTCAGATGAGACCCAAACAGCTCTCCTGGTCCTGTCTGGCCATGCCTCCCAGGAGCCCAATACCTGGGGTCAGGGATGTGTCTCTGGGCATCACTTGTCAGCATTCTGAGGGGCACTGCTGAGAGAGCCCTAACAGGGTCACTGTCTAATGGTGGGGAGGAACCAAATGCAATCAGAATGGAATAGGGCAATGAGGGGAGCTCTGGGCTCCACAGGCAGATCAGGGTGAGGGCTGGAGCGATTGACAGTCAGCAAACAGCCCAAAAGGGCTGGCCAGGTGGTGCAGTTGATTAAGAGAGTGAGCTCTGAGCAACATGGTCGCCGATTTAATTCCCACATGGGCCAGTGAGTTGTGCTCAAACTGGGCGGCTGCTGAGCTGGTGAGAGCGTGTGTTCATAACACCAAGTTAGTTTTCTCCACATGGGATGGTGTGCTGCACCCCCCTCACCTCAGAAACTACATTGAAAGTGGCAACTAGACTTGGAGCTGAGCTTGTGTTCTCCACAACTAAGATCGAAGGACAACAACTTGATTGGAGATGATGGGTCCTGGAAAAATACAATGTTCCCCTTCCCTAATTCCCCAAAACTATTCTCGCTCCAATTCCTCAATAAAATCTTAAAAAAAAAAACCTAAAGAGATTTTTGGAGCAGTGAGACTACTGCTTGATGACCCACAGAATGACCAACACTAAGAGTGAACCCTAACGTAAATTATGGGCTTCGGTGAGAATGGACGTGTCACTGTAGGTGCGTCGATTGTAATAAATATTCCCTCTGGCGAGGGGTGTTGACAGTGGGGAGACAGTGCATGTGAGGGAGGGTCAGTAGGTATAAGGGACATCTCTCTACCTTCTGCTCAATTTCACTGTACCTACACTGCTCTAAAAAATAAAGTCTACTTGAAAATGCCCAAAAGCTTTTATGACAGGAGAAGATAAAGAGCATCATTTAAGATGGGCAGGGAGGAGAGGGTGTGGGGGTCACCCTGGCAGAAGAGCAGTAGAAGAATATGGGGGAAGATGCCAGATGGGGTATCTCGTGTATCGGGCCCCACCCTCAGCATTTGAACTCTGAAAGTTTAGCTCTGAATCCACTTGGCAGAGACCCCCCTTCAGTCAGTGTCACATGGACAGGAGGCTCCTTCCTACCTGAGCCGTCTCCTAAGCAGACACCAATGTTGGGGTTCTGTGNATCTCACTGGGTACTGATCTCTGAGTATGCCTCGTGGATGCTCTTCGGACGAGGATTCTTCCCACGAAAGCTGATGGAGGCGTAATGCAGCTCCTGCTCCAACTCCAAAGGAGGGGTGGTCTCTGCAGAGCTTGAGGAGTCAGCGGGGTTGTCTAACTTGGACTTCTGCTGGTCACTCTGTATGGAAGGCAAATAAGGGGCTCAGAGCAAAGCAGTGTGGCTGGCGGAGAGGAAGGGCAGACAGGAGGGAATGGAGGCAGAAAAGCTCCCTGAAGTCAATTTGATTGTGACAGGCCATTTGCTCAGTTCTTCCATTATTGTAGCAAACATTTCTTAAGGTTCCATATCTTCAGTTATCCAACAAAGATAAGACCTGTTGGCTGCTTTCCAATTCTTCTGAATACTCACATAGACCTATGTGGAAAATACCGTTATTTTTACTAAGAAAGAAACTAAGTCTCAGAGATGTTAGGTACTTCTCCAGGTCACACATCTACTGATCATGAACTCAACCCCTGGCCTCTCAAATGTTTCCTATGTGCCGGTACTGGACACACAGGAAGATGTTTATGAAAAACTACTCTTCCTGTGTGTGTCTCCTTTACTCTTCTATTACTGTCACACTCACAATAATTCTGACTTAAGATGTGTGGGGTTTTACCCCACCACCAACCAGTTCTCTGATACCAGCTGGGTGTCCTACAATATAACTCAGTTCCTACACTATCTGCATGGATTGTTCCGACAGGTTCAGGGCTCAGTCCCATAAGATCCGATCCCCGACCCCCATTGCCACTTCAGACACCAATCGCAAGTCCAAAGTTGTCACCTGTGGTTCTGACCAACTGACTATAAATTGGAAGTTCCACCCTCCCACTCTTCAAGTTCAATTAATTTGTTAGAGTGACTCACAGAACTCATGAAAAGTTTCCTTACTGTGTACCAGCTTATTATAAAAGGATGTGATAAAGGATACAGATGACCATCCAGATGGAAGAGATGCATAAGGCAAGGTGTGTAGGAAGGGGTAAACTTTCATGTTCTCTCCAAGTACACCACTCTCCCAGTCCCTCCATACATACCCCTAATTGGAAGCTCCCCAAACCCCAAACTCTGAGGATTTATATGGAAGTTTCAGTATGGAGGTATGATAGGTGATTAATTCCATTTCCAGCCACACTGCACTCTCTGGATAATGGAGGATAGGGCTGAAACTTCTAAGCTTCTAATTTTGGCTTGGTCTTCCTGGTGCCCATCCCCATCCACGAATCCACCATGAGCCACCTCATTAGAACAAAAGACACTCCTATCA